TAACCTTCTCCTCATCTAAAAAATGAGGATAGTAATGGTGTTTCCATCACCAGCCAGTCGTAAAGATTGACTAAAAGCATATATGAAGGGCACAATTTTGTCCCTGGTCCCTGGTAAGATAGCACTTAGTATACGTTAGCTACCATCGTTGTTAACCTTTTTCTCTTTTTTTATTGAGGCATGACTTACATAAAAATAAAGTGCATAAGTCTCAAGTACTGAGTGAGATGAGTTTTGACACTTGTGTAGCTACTACCCACAAGATAGGAAATACTGCCATCACCCTAGAAAGTTCGCATGATGCCCTAACAGTCAACCCTCCCACCTCAGAGCAAACACTTTTTGCCTTCTGTCTCCATAGATTAGTTTTGCCTGTTCTTATACTCCGTGTAAATAGAATTGTATAGTATATATTTTTGTGTGTTTGGCTTCTTTTGCTTAGCATGTATTTTGAGTTTCATCTGTGTTTTTGCCCATATCTATAGTTCTTTCCTTTTTATTACTGAGTAGTGATACACTCTATGGACATATTACATTTTGTTTATCCATTCTGTTGACGACCATTTAGGTTATTTCCAGTTTAGGGCTTTTAAAACTAAAGCATCTATGGATATTCTTATACCAGTTTTTTGTGTGGACAAATGTTTTCATTTCCCTCGAGTGAATACCTAGGAATAGAATTACTGGGTCATAGGGTCGGTACAAGCTTACCTTATGAAACGGCCAAACAATTCTCTAAGGTGATAGTAGCAATGAGATCTCTTTTTAATATAGATGGGAACAGGGTGGCATTTGAGGTAGTCCAGAATAGCCAAAGACTTTTGTAGTCATATTAACCTGGGTTCCTATCTGGGTTCTGGTGTTTACTATTTGTGTGACTCTGGGTAAGTTACTTAATACCTGAGATTTGGTCTTAACCTGTAAAAAGGGAGTGATAATGAGATCACGTATATTAATATCTAGTATGCGACCTAGCAGTGGAATGCTAAGGTGGGGACAGTAGTGCAGGCTAAAGGGGGTACATAGTCTGTAAAGAATTTAGAAGCAATAATAAAACCAACTGAAAGTCCACTTGCTTTTTATCATTATTATAATTCTACGGTGTCAGTGGTAAAATGCTTCTCTCTGCCTCCTCCCCCTACACCATGCTTCCTAGCAAATTTTAGGGACTTACAATACGTAGTAATTATAATGAATATTCAGTGAAATAAAGCAGGAACTAAGAGTTAGGTTGTACTTCGGACCTTCAGTGAGATTTGGAGCTTTTATTGCAGCCCCTCTCTGCACGCTTCGCTTCCTCGAGGTCCCTGGTGTGCAAGGCTCACTCTGGGTGGAAACGTTCCCAGGATTCCGGGGAGGCACACAGAGGTCTGTCCTCTCCAGGAGCCATCTCTAAACAGTCGCTCCTCGCGATTGCTTAAAAGTTTGAGGTTTTCTCTCCTTTTTTACCCACTTTTAAATTCTGATATGTCATAGGCATATTTTCTTCCATTAGATTCTTCAACATAATTATAAATCACGTACCTATATCTAAGCCAGCCTTACTTATCAAAGCCAAAATCACTCCTCTTAAACATTCTATTCCTTGTAAAGTAGCTTCACAAACATATGTTCTAAATTATAAAGCATTTTATTGATATTTTGTGTCCACACAGTTGACCCTTGAACAAAATGACAATAGTAATGGTATTAAGGGTGCCAACCCCTCACACAGTCAAAAACCTGTGTATAACTTTTGACTCTCCCCAAAATTAACGACCCTCGGTATTTGTGGGAGATTGGTTCCAAGACCCCTCACAGAGACCCAAATTCACAGATGTTCAAGTCCCCTACATAAATGGCGTAGAGCAGTGCATACAGTCGGCCCTCCCCATCCATGGACTCCCAACCACAGATCAAAAGCAGTACGGGTATTTATTGACTTTACTTACTAGATTACCAGCTTATTATAAAAGGATATAATTCAGAGACATCCATATAGAAGAGATGCAGAGGGCAAAGTATGTGAGAAGAGGCCTGGAGCTTCCATGCCCTCTCTGAACATGCCTCTCTCCCCAAATCTTCCCGGCTTTACCAACCCAGAAGTTCTCTGAACCCTATCCTTTTGGGTTTTTATGGAAGCTTCATTACATAGGCATGATTCATTACATCATTGGCCATTGGTGATCTGTGCAACCTCCCCAGAGGTCAGGTGGCCGGCCCTCCAGAGATGCAGTCGGCTCCCCTGGCAGCCAGCCCCCATCTTTAGGTTCTTTCCCAAAATCACTTCATTGATAAACCCAGGTGTGGTTGAAAGGTTTTTGCTCTGAATAGCAAGACACTTTTATCATTCTTATCACTTAGGAAATAAGGATGTTAGGAGTTCTGTGCCAGAAACAGGGATGGAGACCAAATATCTATATATCTTATTATAAATCATATCATAGCAGGTTACTTAACCTCTCTGAGCATTGTTTTTCTTATCAATGAAATGAGTAATGATACCTGTTTCTTAAACAAGATAATAGATATACAGTGCTATATTAGTTCCCTATTGCTGCCATAACAAGTTACCACAAACTTAGTAGCTTAAAACACTGCAAATTTATTACCTGACAGTTCTGTAGATCAGAAGTCTAACAGGGGTCTCACCAGGCTGAAAGCAAGGTCTTGACAGGGCTGTGTCGCAGTTCCCAGCTTCTAGAAACTGCTGCATTTCTTGGCTCATGACCCCCTTCTTCCACCTTCAGAGCCAGCAGATCAAGTCTCTTTCACACCTACATCTCTCTGTTCTCTGCAGCCAAGAAAGCTCTGATTTTAGGGATGTGTGTGATTATATTGAGCCCACCTGGATAATCTGGGATAATCTTCCCATCTCAAGGACCTTAACCTTAATCACATCTACAAAGTCTCTTCTGCCACCTAACACAACATATTCGTAGTTTGCAAAAGACCAGGTCATAGACATCTGCAGGCGCCGTTGTTCTGCCTGCCACAAGTGCCTAGCTCTTAGTAAGCCCTCAGTAAGCAGCAGAAGTTCAAGGCCCTTGGTACTCTAGAAAATTGCACACTGCAGATGTGACCCCCAGGCACAAGTAACTTGCAGCCTGGTGAGAAAATGAGAGGGCTGAGGTCAGAAATGATTCAGACCTAGGAAGAGTGACCCAAGCCATGAGTGGGCTTTCAGCCAAGTTCCATGGGAAAGTGAAAGGGTTCAGGTCAGCGAGTGATCTGACAAGTTTGAACAGAGTAAATGTGTCAGTAATGTAGATGATTGCAGAACCTGGAAGGAAAAGAGGTGCAACCCAGGTGAGAATCTTTGTAGGACAAAAGGTAGGAGGGAAGAAGGCAGAGGAAAGGCCTTTTCTGACTAGACAGGTCACGGAATTAGATTTATTCATATCTGTCGATTCTTCCCATTAGTCCCATTGGACTCATTTGTTCACTTATGCAACAGATATGTGCCTTGGGGATACAATGAACACAATACATGTAGCCTGCTTTCTCAGAGCTCAGTTTGGTAAAGCAAATGACCATGTCAACACCAAGACATAGTACAGTGTGACATTAGGAGCCCGAAGGAAGGGTATGCTTTCCTCTCAAATTTACACGACAGGAAAGGCGTCTTCAAGTGCCTTTAAACGGATTGGCTCACTTAAGTGGAAGTCCAGAAGGAGAGGAGGCTTCTGGGTCGGTCACTCTGGTCACTCTGGCTCCATTTTTCTATGACTCCCTTGGCCAGGCTTTCCTCTCTACGGCGATTTCACTCTCAGGTTAAGGAGAGGAGGCTTTCCAGAAGGAGAGGAGGCTTCTGGGTTGGTCACTCTGGTCACTCTGGCTCCATTTTTCTATGACTCCCTTGGCCAGGCTTTCCTCTCTATGGCTTCCCTCATGGTGGTAATTCAGGTGTCACATCAGCACACCCAGCATCCAGAGGAAGAAGGACATCTTCTTCATAGACTCTCTCCTGAGGATGAGAAAACTCCTTTTCTAGAAGCTCCCAGCAGCTATCCCCCTTGCATCTAATTGGGGTCACTGGCTCATTTTTGAGTCAATCCCTGTGCCCAAGTGAATGTCATATCCACTTTGGCTTGGGCTAAGTTTCTGAACCTGTCACTGTGGAAAGAACAATGGATTTACACTTTCTGAAAAACATGGTCTGATTTGAGGCAAGGAGATAATTAAACGAAAATCAAAGTGCCCTTAGGATTGAGAGAACAGGACAGGACAGTATGTAGGAATGTCTGCTGCCCTGTTTTCTCCTTCTCCCATGTCAGACTCATTTCTGCCACTTCATACCTTCCGCTTTTCGTGGACTGTTTCCTCGTAACTCAAGCTTTGCCATGATTTCTCTCTGTGTGTGTTTTCAGATTTATCTGTTAACTGCCTCACTCTGTCCATGTTTCTCAATTCAAATCCCCAAGCTCAAGACTCTGGCCCAATTTTCCTTACTATCCCAGGCTTCACCTACTGAAAGTAAGTTCCAGAATATCAGGGACTTTGATTTGGACACTGCTGTACCCCCAGCATCTGAACAGTACCTGGCATGCAGTGAGTGCTCGATAAGTTAAATAGATGCCAAATGAATGAAAGATCAGCCTCTAGTTAGTTAGCTGCCCTTGGGTCAGATGCTCCTCTGGGAAGATTTTCTGTGGCTGAGGGGATGTCCCTTACAGAGATCACTGACGTGTCCCTTCTGCTGGTAGAAGCAGAAATTTGTTTGGATCTCACTTCTGTTACTATTTTCTGAACTTCGGTTTACTTTTCTGTAAAATGGAATCTGTGGAACCTGCCCTTTATGATTCAGGGGTGTTCAGTATCAAGTGAGATCATGAGTATGAAAATACTTAATGTATTGTCAGATTCCAGGCAGTTTCATTCAATTCTGGTCACTCACATGCACCCAGAAACATTGATGACGGAAAGGTGAGTTTACCTGTTCAGGTTCACTTCTTGGCGTCAAATGCCCCAGGAGAACTTCTAATGGCTCTTTTCTTGTCTCTTTCCATTTGTTCCCCCAGGGTCACTCAGGATGTGTCAACTGTCTGGAGTGGAATGAGAAAGGAGAGTAAGTATGAGCTAGAGCATTCACGGGGTCCTGGAGGAGGGCGTAGGGAGGCTGGGAGAAGGGGATTTCCTTCTTCTTCGTAGATAGGGGAAAG